CATGTGACTCCTTTCACTGCCCTCTGTCTCCTGGAATTTGTACAAAGCAGAAGCTGTGTGTGTGTGTGTGTGTGTGTATGTGTGTGTGTGTGTGTCCTCAAAGGCTCTATCCCAAGGTAGGAACCAAGCATCTCTGCTATGTCAACCCCTGTATTAATCACAATTACCAAAATGGGGGAACCATTGTCCCTCTGCCAGAGAAACTTGTAAGGCACAAGGCTTGTCATGTTTTGGCAAAGTGGGCACTGTTGGCTCTGTGTGAAAACAGTTCCTAGAACAGTTGAAGCCTTGAGTTAGCACCTCAGAGTCTTCACCCAGCAAGCAAGTTAAACTGGGTCGTAAAAAATGGGTGAAGTTTTGCTACTGTTTTTATGGACGAAGGAAAAGAGAACAGGGTTAAATATACACCCCCTCCCACCTCCACCACGTGCCGCCTTTTTAAGACAGGCTCTCAATATGCAGCTCTGGCTGTCCTAGAACTCACTGTGTAGACCAGGCTGGTTTCAAATCCACAGAGATCCACCTGCCTGCCTCTGTCTCCTGAGTGCTGGGATTACAGGCGTGTGCCACCAAGTCCAGCTAAGTAACCAGTCTCTTCAAGCTCCCAGAAGTGACACATATCACTTTGGTTTACGTCCCCTTAGGTATAGTGAGTCGCGTGGTCATACTCAAATTCAAAAGGGAAGGAAGGTGCAATCCTACCACGTGCCTGAAAGGAGCAAGGTTCTGTGGCGTACCTTAAGCCTTCCACAGTTGAGTGACTGGTTCCCCTGCCGCTGTTGCGTTTTCAGATGCCGGCCATTTTGAGGGAAAGTCCTAACATTCCCTGGGTGAAGGAGGTGCAGGTGGAGTAGGACTCATTGCCGTTTGGGATCCCATGGGTATTAGCCATGTCTGTTGTTTTCCGTAATCTGATGCTTTGACAACTGGGTTCTCCCAAACCCTGAAGGGACAGTCCCTTTCTAGGATTAGCCAATCCCTACCCCCTAACACAATGGGATTTGCCCGTGAGCATACTTTTCAAAAGAAAACTGACAATCTGGAGTCTTCACTTCCAACCTTCCCTTTTATTGGATACCTGCACTCTGGGTCATTACTTACCTGCTCAAGTTGCCCAGGGGCCAGGTACCAGCCAACTAGGAACCATCCCTGATCCCAGATCCACTGGCAGTACTCGAACCAGCCAACCTGTAGAGACTCTGGCAGAAGTCCTTATGTAAAGCTCTGCTCTCTTCTTCTGCCCCAACTGACGCTCCTGCTTCCCTGAAGGCCCGCCATGTATCCCCCAACACAGTGTGCCCCTCCTCTCAGGAACTATTTTCGGCTCTCCTTCTTTAATCACAGTCCTCTCCTACTGTCACAACCATGTCTAAATCATAGTAAAAACACACTCAAGCACATCTGCATGTTGACTGTCAGCTACTTACGGCAAAAGAAGCCAAACACTGCAAGATTCATAAGCAGACTCCCCCAGCCCGGAGCTGTTGCAGGCAAGGAAGAGCCAAGCAGCTCTGCTCTGAACCAGCAGGCCCGTTCTCTCTCAGCTTCCCGTTGAGGAAGAGAGGAGGGTTCAAGGCCCACCTCTGTCCTGAAGCCAACAGTCATGGCTGTGGTGTTCCTTCAGGGGAGTGTCCTGTCTGATGAGGCAACAGAATAAGACCAAGCCAAGCTCTGGGATCTGTATGTCTTCCCTGGTGGCCGTCACAGCAGACTTCTACGTGTGCTCCTGGTGTCCTTCTTCTCAGGGAAGGGCTGACAGGTGGCGGCAGTTGCAGGCAGGTTCCAGAGAACCCCATGGCAGTTTTGCTCACATGAGTCTGCAAAACGTGGTGGGCTTTGTTGACAGTTTTGGCTGGAGTTGGTGAGACCAAGACTGCGGAAGTATGGGCAGTGGGAAATGCGACAGGACGGACTTGGACTCTATGATCAGCACTGGGGTGTTACCCATTCCTTGATGACCTCATGCAGTGCTTTTCACTCCTGAACTCAAAGGGCTGTGTCAAGACTCTCTCTCTCTCTCTCTCTCTCTCTCTCTCTCTCTCTCTCTCTCTCTCTCTCTCTCCTCTCTTCTCTCTGTGTCTGTCTGTCTCTCTCTTCTCTCTTCTCTCTGTGTCTGTCTGTCTGTCTCTGTCTCTGTCTCTGTCTCTCTCTGTCTCTCTCTCACACACACACACACACACACACACACACACACACACACACACACTCACTCTAGAGGTATCCATAAAACACAAAGCACAGCAGGCCCACAGTTCATGAGTATTGACATTCCTTCTGTGCTCAGAAGGGAGGCAAGGCTGGCTGCTGGCGGCTCCTCTCAAATGTTCTGTTACTGATACTGGCCAGTGAGACAAGGCAAGAAAAAGCAACAAAATGTACGGGGGTTGAAAGTTAAGAGCAAACTTTCATTTTTACAGATGGGACAGGAAATAGCTCTATGGTTTTTAAAAGCCAAAGAATCTGTAAATGAATGATTAGAAAATAAATGAGTTTGGCAATGTTGGGTATAAGGACATTATGCAAAACTTTATTTCTAGTATATTCCAGGTCTGTATGGTTGAGAAACAACCTCAAAGTTTTGTAGCTTAAAACAATAACAAGCATTTATTACCTGTCATGGCAACTGAACACTTATTTATTTATTTTTGAGACAAGGTCTTCCAATATAGCCTTGGTGGGCCTAGAACTCACCATGTAGATGAGGCTGGCCTTGAACTCACGAAGATCCCACCTGTCTCTTTGTCCCAAGTAGCTGACATTTTGGATTAGAGGAAAACTCAACCGTGACTTCTCTTGTGGTTCCAGACTTCTTACTCAATGGCTTACAGCTCCAGGCACTGAAGCCCCCTAAGAAGCCGTGTCGGTGGGGCTGGGTCAGCTTTTATGCACTAGCCTCAGAAGGCACTCTCTTTACTAAAAACCATTCAATAAGACCAGGCTTTTTCAAGAGGGAGGGTATTAGACTACTCCTCCTCCTTGGGAAGAGTGTCAAAGGATTTATGGAGTTGTTAGAAAGCCTTGACCATCCTATTAGCAACAAACAAAATAAATAATCAATAATAGCATAAAACAACAACAACAACAAAAAACCAGTTGTAAATCTAATAAAAGATGCGCCAGGTTTTTACATATAAGACGTTGCTGAGAGAACTTTAAAGAAACCTTCAATAAGTGGATATACCATGTTCATGGATAAAAATAATTCACATAGAAAATACCCACTTCATCCAAATTGACATAAAGATTCAATGTGGGAACAATGAAAATCCCAGCTGATTTTGTATTAAATTCCAAAGGTCAATAGCCAAGGAAGTCTTAAAGAACATGAAGAGTGGGTGGGCTTATTCTGTGGGATATTAAGATGTGTTACAGAGTTGGAATAATCCAGTGAGCTATTGGCACAAGGAGAGAAAAGTAAGCAGAACAGAGACCACAGAAGCAATACATTTGCATGTGAAATACTTGTTTATAATAAAGTAATGCAGAGAAGTGGAGTGTGTGTGTGTGTGTGTGTGTGTGTGTGTGTGTGTGTGTGTGTGTGTTTCAGTGAATACTGCCAGGCTAGTTGGGTATCCAGATCTGGGGGAGGATAGACAAAAAAAAAAAAAAAAAAAAGAGGGAAAGAGGCCTGTGGGAAATTCCTTTTTGATAAGACTGAGCCTGGTATTTCCAGAAACAATGACTGAAGTTTGTTTAGAAGCGCTTTCCTTTCTGGGCTGTGATTTCCTCCTTTGTTCTCGCACCTTCACTGAAAGACCAGTTCCCACACTCATCTCGCCATGTCTGGATTCCGTGGTTACAGAGGTTCTTGCTCCTGGCCAGGACCAGCCAAGTCCAAGCCGCTGTTGAGAGCTGTTAGTTCCACGCTGTTCTCTGTGTGGGCAAGAGGCTCAAGCTGTTTCCTCCAGTTGTCCTTCCCAGACAGACCCAGGAACTGGATGGGGGGTGGGGGCGAATGGAAGTAAATGAGAACACCCTGACCGTTCTTGCAACCAGCAAGTGTCTGAGGAAGTTTGGTGCTTTGACAGAGAGCAAGGGAGGCAGATACACACTGCTTCTCTGGTGTCCAGAAGGCCTTGGATGATGGCCAACTGTACCAGGCTTTTGAGCCTTCCGGTCCTTACACTAAAGGGGGTGGGACTTTCCAGTGTCTCTATCCAAGTGCTTTCAATTCTGGATGCTCTCGTTTACTGGATGCTGCAAGTCCCTGCCTCGATTTCCCCCAAATATAAAATTAACATGTATGCACTTTGGTCGCCTGTCTCTTCCTGAGTAACTCAGATCAGCTTGAGGTGTGTGTGTGTGTGTGTGTGTGTGTGTGTGTGTGTGTGTTGGGGGCGGGCGGGGAGACTATTCCAAGATCCGTGTGAGTCAAGGGGCCCAGTTCCACAGGTAAGACAGCACCCATCTCCAGCTGAGTGTTGCTACCACCACTTCCTACGGCCAGGCTTGCCGGGTGGGGAACTGACACTGCCCCCAATATTTAGGGCGGGGAATGCCCCGTTTCTGGACAGGTGTGGCCTAGGGGCTTTTCTTTTTCCTCTCGCTCTTGGTGACAAAAGGCGGGACAGGAAAGGTCCACTTGGAACGGCAAGTCACATTAGGGGCGGAGGGCTGGGCGGGGATCGGGGCGACTGCCCAACTCAGACGAGTTCCAGGGCCCCCTTGCCCTCGGCGGCGCCCGAGGCCGGAACAATAGCGCTCGCGGGCGGGGCGGGGGAGGGCGTGGCGGGAGGGCGTAGCTCCCCTCCGGGCGCCGCCCCCGGCCCGCCCCCCGCGCTTGCACACCGGCTCGCCTAGTGCTCCCACCGCCGCCCGCCCAGGCACTGCCCGCGGGAGCCGCCGCCGCCGCCGCCGCCGCGCCCGCCATGGACGTCCGCCTGTATCCCTCGGCGCCCGCGGTAGGTGCGCGGCCCGGGGCCGAGCCGGCCGGCCTGGCGCACCTGGACTACTACCACTGCGGCAAGGTAGGCGGCAAGGTAGGCAGGGGCCGAGTGTCCCGGGCTCGAGTGTGGGGCAGGAGTCACCTCGCGGCTGCGGACGCGGCCACTTTTGGGGCCTCACACGGGGGACACGCACACCACAGCCCCGTCGACGGGCACGTGCCGCTCACACCGCTGCCCTCGCGGTCACACACACGCCCCGAGTTGTAGATCACAGGCAGAAGTCAGCCCGACAGCCACCCGCACGACGACACGGTGACACACTCACCCACACTTCGCATTCATTCACAAGCCGACGCGCAGCGACGCTCTGTCACCCAGCCAGGCGGCACCACACACAGCCTTCACCGTCCCACATAAGTCACCGTGCCAGTCATCTGTCGTCAACCACACTCAGCCTCTCGCCCACGTACACGGCTACACTAACACACACAAAGTCACTTCACCTATCCGCACACACAACGCTGCTGCACATGTTCCTATCCGCTGTCACAGGCAGTGACAACCGGGGACAGTCACACAAAGAAGTAGCTCCGACAGTTCCAGCTCACACTCACAATGACCCACGAGTGCACACGGTCGGTCACACAGATCCATCCCCGGGACGAGAAGCCTCAGCTACAAATCGCCCTGACGGGCACGCAGTCGTACCCGGGCACACCCAGGGACAGTCACAGGCTCCAGCACCCGGCACTCCCCGCCCCCACCCCTCGGTCGTCCATACTCGCGCGTCGGGGTTTTAACTTGTCGGTGCAGTGCACTAATTGGGCCGTTTACTAATTGGCCGTCACTGCCCCACGGCGCCTCGGATTCTATGATGGTGGCGTCCAATCAAGACCTGTCCCTTCCCCGATCGGGGAGCTAGCGTCCCTTCAGGCTTGGGCTGCAGCAAGGAGGCACCACTAGTCCCCCATTTTTCCGGGATCTCTGTCCCCAAAGCCAGGCAAGTCCCCGTACCGCGGCGCCGTCCGGAGGCTGTGCGGGGATCCTGGGACCTAAGGCGTCGGACCCCCGCTCCTCTTCGAGCCCAGCGGGCAGGGGCAGGGGCAGGGGCAGCCGAGCTGCCCGAGTCCTCTTCCCTCGCAGGGAAGGGAACTTTGAAACTTAGTTGGAAAGCCAGACGGTCGGTCGGTGCGTCCCCAGGTCTGTGCGTCGGTCCGGGTCAGGTTGGAGCCGAGCGCGGCTTTTCGTCACTCGGAGCCCGGATTGAGCAGCGCGCGTGGGTCTCCGGGCGGTCGGGGCGCAGACGCGCGGACTCTGCGGTGCTGCGTGGTGAGTGCGCGTCGGATGGCTCGATCCGCGACCCTCTAGGGTCTGTCCCCTTCCCCACAGGCTATCCGCCCAGCTCCTGGCTGAGGGGGTGCTCCCGGGATACTGAGGGAGCAGAGCATCCGGCCCGATCGCTGGGCCTCCCGGCCTGGGCCTCTCTGCAAGTGCGTCCTCAGGCCCTAAGGGAGCGGCTGCCGCCAGGAGCCCACTGCAGTTCACCCTGGCCCCGGCGGCGCGGGCCGCGCAGGCGGGGGGCGTCCCGGGGCGGAGGTGGGCGGCACGCATCTCTCGGAGGGGAGAGCAGATTATCTTTTGTGCGCTGATCCGCAAAGTTGGAAGCCTGAGAGGGGGGATGGTGCCTCAGAGAGAAGGCGGGTTCTGGAGCCGCTTCCACTGTGGTGGTGGGAAAATAGATTAAAAACAGCAAGTGGAGTTTTACAAGGAGCTGAAGGATGGGCAGAGGGTCATCTGCCCTTGGCTTTGTTACGTTTAAAATACCAAATGGGCAAGACAGGGTTCACCTTCTGGTTTGGAGGCCGTGGTGGAGACTAGGCATTTGTGTCTTAAAGTCCCGGTACCCAGGCTGGGGAGGAGGTAGAGATTAGCGGGAAGAGGTCTTTTGGAGGTGAGGTATCTGCAAACCCCACCAAAGTGGGGCCAGACTCTCCCACTGCCGCCTTTGGGAAGCAGGACTCTGCTGAGCCCCCCATCCTACCCCACCCCCACCCCGCGGTTTTTTTTTTTTTTTGTTTTTTTTTTTTAATTTGGAAGCTCTAGAAACCTCTGACTCAGCACCAGAACCTCCGAGGTCGCAACCCGCAGGGGAGGACTCAGAAGTGGAGGGTGGAGATTTTGGTTTCTATCTGTGCTCTGGGACCCTGACCCATAGCTGGAGAAGTTTTGAGCTTATTGGCGTGGGCCAAGGCACCAGAATGCTTGAAAGGAAGGTGTGCCCATGTGCTTAGATGTGAGATCTGCTGTTCAGTCCTTCATGCTGGGGTGATGGAGCACCTGGCTCAGCTTGAACCAGAGCCTTGTTGGCAGATTCCCCAGTGGGCTGTGGCCTTCTGTGGTGGTTCAATGAGGCCAGGAACCCCATTTTTTTCAGACTCCAGAAACTGATAGTGAAAGGTTGTGGAAAAGAAAATGTCCAAGCTTCAGGCTTCCTCACAGCGGCTCACTATCAGAGTGGAAGGGTAAACTGAGACCTAAGGTGTGGTAATAGCCACACTGGGGCGGTGTGTCTGTGTTATGAGGTGGTGTAAAATGGGCTTCGGAGCCAGGACACAGCCCACACTCTGGGGCTCTGTTGTTGGGGCCAGGACAAGAGGCTTGTCTCTCAAGCATTTGCCCAAACGATGTCAGACAACCGTGGGGCAGTTGACCTGGAAGGGCCCTTGGCGACGGTCCCCTTGGCGACCATCCCCTTGGTGACTGTCCCCTTAGCAATCCTCTGCATAGAGATTCCAAGCCCCTTTAAATCTAAAGTCATGAGCACTAGCTGTTCTTTTGGTGGTTTTTGTTTGAGAAAACACACAATAATGAAAAGCCACGGTGGCTTCATTTTAGCTTCGAAATACTTGTGCAATTTATTAATCACGGTAATATTAGCATGTATTAGAAAAATCATTTACCAGATATAAAGCAAGCATGTTACTTTTTAAAATGTAGTAACAGTGCTTGGTAAGCACAGGGACTCCTGGCCTCTGGCATGGAGGATCTGGGATCTCATGAAGGGAACTATTGATCTCCTCTTTGCTTCATATAGGAGAAACTGAGTCATGGAGCAGTATACCCTTGGGTTACTGAGCAGGTGAAAGGATTCAATTGATGTTGAATCTAAGTTTCTTAATTCACAACAGGACAGTCATCTGGCCTCCGTGTGAGACTCTATCATGGTTTGGGGGCTAGGGACCTGTGATTTTCATTCACAGAGAATTGAATCCCTTCCATTCAGATTTGGGAAGGCATTAACCAGGCAGGGAGCTCCTAGCTCAGCCAGGCAGACTAGTGTCAATTAGCCACTGGGACAGGGTAAGCCTAGCTTTGTAGCTCCATATGTGGCTTTGTGAACTAGAGGAAATGATTTCTAGCTCCTTAAAAAAGTTTAAAATACATGTATTTATGTATGTGAGCAGGCATGCATGGGAGTCAGAGGAAACTCTCTCCTTCCACTGTGTGTGTCCCAGCAGTCAAAGTTAAGTTATTAGGTATGGCAACAGGTGCCTTTACCAACTAAGCCACCTATGGGCTCTCTAGATCTTTGTTGTTACTGAGTATGACTTAATTTAATAAAATATAAATGAGATTGACAGATATAAACACCCAGGTACCCACTAATCGGGTCTAGGTAGAGACTATTTCCATCACCCTAGAAAGCCCCTTTTGTGCCCTTCCCAGTCAGCACCCCACCCACTGTCCCATTGATGGCTTCTTTCCTGATTTCTAGTCCACGCAGTTTGTTTCAGTTCAATTTAGGTATGCAAAGAGGAATTCTGAGTATGGCTTCTTTTTTGCTCAGCTTGTCATTCAGATTCTTTGTTGAGTGTGTGTGTGTGTGTGTGTGTGTGTGTGTGTGTGTGTGTGTGGTTTGTTCCACTTCGTTGTTGAGTGGTATTGCTTTCTGTAAATACAGCACACTTGATTGCTTCATTCACCTGATGATGGGCATTTGGGTTCATTTTCAGTCTGGGGAAATTGTAAATAAAGCTTCCGCAAATGTTCTTTTACAAGTCTTTTTGTGGGGAGAGCAAATTACTTAATATCACTGAGCCTAGGTACCCTCTTTAAAGTTTTTTCTTTAAGATTTATTTATTTTTGTTTTATGTGCATGGGTAATTTGCCTACCTGTATGTATATGTAGGATGAGCATGCAATGCCCCTGGAGGCCAGAAGAGGGTCTCAGATCCCCTTGGAACGGGCGTCACAGATGGTTCTGAGTCACCATGTGGGTGTTAGGAATCAAACCTGGGTCCTTGAGAAGAGCAGTCATGCTCCAGCCCCACCCTCTGGATGACATTGCCTACTTATGAGATTCAGGATACAGGAGTGAGGAATGCAGGCTAGGATAGTTCTTGGCACAAACCAGGTATTGATTAATTGATGGTGTTATCAACCCCCTGCCACCTATTCCAGTAAAAGGTTTAACCTCTCTGTTCCGAGCATCCTTTATCTCTGTTTGATACCCCCTAAAGGCTGACCTGGGTGCCACTATCGTGGAGCACTCTGTGGCCAGCAACCTTGTCTCTTTCTCCAGGCTCTCCCAATGACTAGTACTGCGTGGGATGTGGCATGTTCTATCGTCTGTCATTTAATCAACAAACATTTATTGATTACTGCTTTGTGCTAGAACTTTGCTAGGTAACCAATGCTATGGCAATGAACAAAACAAGCCCAAATTGTTGCTCTCAAAGCTCAGCTATCTATCTATGGATAAAATATAAAGTAATGTGATCAATAGGTCTCTTGATATGAGGTAAGGAAGAGGGTTAAGGTGAGCCAAGGCCTGGGGCTGCTGTGTGTGTGTGTGTGTGTGTGTGTGTGTGTGTGTGTGTGTGTGTGTATGTGTGTGCGTGTGTGTGTGTGTGTGTGTGCGTGTGTGTGTGTGTGTGTGTGCGCGCGTGTGTACACATGTGGAGGCAGAGGTTGACACTGGGAGTTGTCATAGAGTTAGTTTTTATCAACGTTACACAAACCTAACCTGAGAAGAAGGAATCTCAGTTGAGGAACAGAGTCTACAAGATTGGCCTGTGGGCATGTCTACTGGGCATGTTTTTGACTGCTGATTGACTTGGGAGGGCCCAGCCCACTGTGGGCGGTGCCATCCCTGAGCAGGTGAGTCTGGGCAGTGTATAACAAGCTGAGCAAGTCAGTTCCTGACTCCAGATTCCTGCCTCAACTTTCCTCAGTGATGGACTGCAACCTGTAAGCTAAATAAACCCTTCCCTCTTCAAGTTGGTTTTGATCATGGTGTTTACCATAGCAACAGAAAGCAAACCAGAACAGATGTCTTCCTTTATATATTTTTAAGACCAGTATCTCACTGAACCTGGAACTCAACATTTTGGCTAGAGTCTTGTAGGGTCTCCCTGTCTCCACCCCGACAGCACAAGATTATAAAAGTGTGCCTCCACCCCGGCTTTCACTGGGTTCTGGGGATCCAAACCTGGGCCATCACCTCAGCCCCTGTTTTGTGATTTTAAGGTGGGAGGTTGATGTCAGACTCCTAAAATTTTGAAAATGTATGTATATAATGAGAGTCACTTGGTAAGTTTTTTCAAAGTTTTATTTATTTTTATTTATGTGTACGACTGGATGTGTGTATGCACACATATGTACAAATGCCTGTGGAGGCCAAAAGAGGGTGCTGGATCTTTTGGAGCTAGAGTTGCAGGCCGTTGTGAGCGTGTGGGTGGTGGGAAGTGAATTCTGGCTCTCTGCAAGAGCAGCTAGCTCCTAACCACAGAGACAGACTCCAGCCTCTGATGGGTAAGTTTTAAAAAGCAAATTCCTGGGCCACACTTCCAGGGATTTCGATTCATTTGGTCCTGGGGGATGGACCCTTGGAATCTGCACATCTAGTGAGGCCCCATGTGATGCTACAGCCGGTGACATGTTACAGCCACAGTTTGAGTAGTGGCGGCTTGGTTGTTTGTGTAGTTTTGTGTGGGCTCCTGGAAGGCAGGAACCATGCCCAGGACTTGGCACAGTGCCTTCTTATAATGGCTCAGTAAGTAAGTGGTGGTGGGTGAGTTATTTTGCTTTCCACCCACACAATTCTGGGCACAGCGTCGTGTAAGGATGGGAACGAAGAAAGCGTGGTTACTGAATGACTGGAGGCCCCGTTTGGCAAAATCCATGAAGTGGAGGTTGCTCTTACTGCCTGTCCTGGACTTGGGGTATCTGAGGACTTTACAACATCTGTGGGGGTGAGATTTGCACAGCTTCCATCTGAAGGGGGCAGGGGATGGTCCTGTGGGAAGAGCCCTGGGCTGGCTGGAATT